TACAGCAAGAGTATGGTTTGTTATAGACATGAACCCACTAAGTACTATTCTTTTTTTTTAAGTCAAGCTTGGGTGTAAAACTTACAAATTAAAGTTCAGGGCCAAATTTTGCTTTCTGTTCCACTTGGAAACTAAGCAGACATTTCTCTTCAAATAATGTACTATATTCTGATCTATAAAAAAGCATAAGAACAGATTGAAATTACATTAATATAAACAGGAACCTCTGAAAAGAACATTGAGTACTTAAAATTGTGGACATTTATGCGAATACTTTCCAAAATGGTTATCTTGCACATTGTACAGTGATATAAAAAGTAAATGTCGCCTGCCTAATAAATTATTTTTATTTCACCTCTAGTAGAAAAGATATATAATTACAGAACTGGGAATTCAGAAAGAATTTTCTGGTCTCTTCCTTTTGGGACCAAAAGGGGAAGAGTGAGAGAAGAATGTGGTCAGAAGTGAAAAAGTTAAGACCTGCAACTACAGAAAAGACATGACATTAATTTTTCAATCACATTATATATCTTAACTGTAAATAACTACTTCCAGGGCTCATTTCTTAAAAGAAAAATTGGAAAGCTGATCCTAGTTTATTGCTTTTTCCAAATTTTAGGAATGGCGAGGATTTCCTTTGTGGCCCATATCTTCCTTCCTGAGACTGGATTTTAATTAATTTTACTATTTAGCCTGATAACAGGCTAAGGTCTTTTCAGCATATTCACATTTGTACTAGTGGCTCCAGTTCCTGTCTGTTTACCACCTCAAACTCTCACATGGCTTTTGAGTCCCAAATAATTGCCCAAAGTAAGACAAAAATAGATCATGTCTTCTTCCTCACAGCAACTCAAGTCCAGACCTCCTGCAGACATTGCCTGGAAGGTTCAGATTACAGTGTAGATATGATCCTAGAGAGATGCCTTGCTTTAAAAGGAAAATATTGAATTGCTGAAGCTGTGCTTTTTCACTAATGAAGGTTGGAAAGAAAAAAAAAACCAAAACCAAAGAATGCTTTGCTATTAGAAAATAAGAGTTTTTTTCAAGCTAGTTTCTACTCCTCTTCTAAGCAACATCTTGGAAGAATTCTTTTAAAACAGATGTGTTTTGGACATGAGCATTTTCAACATAGAAAAGATGTTTCAGATTTTTTTGTTTGATTGGTCCTAAAAATGAAATTAGATTTACATAAAAAATGTAAAATCATAGATCATGAAAGAAACTGCCCATACACACATTATAGAACTAATATAGCTAGGCCATTCAAAATACTTTTTTGGACATCAGTTTGAGGGAAGATACCCCAGTTATGACTTTTCTTCTCAACAACCACAGACCAAGGGAACCATTTCTTACACCAATGTGTTTAATCAAATTCGCTCCTGCAAATTATCAGAAGGAACACAGAGAGAGGAAGACTCAGTTAAGGGAGTAAGGGTTTCACAACCTGGCATATTTGGACTTTGGGTACCCGTTTCAGAAAAAGCTAATTAGTAAGCCCAGAGCATCATCAACATATGAAGCCTGGAAGAAGGTCCTGATCACATCTGAATCTCAGTGAAAGCTATGCCCTTCTCCACTCACAGCAGCTTCAGGGCCTCCCTCTCAAAGATTCAGAGCTATGTGTTGGGAGTTGTCTGCTTAACAGCACAATATTTCTCCTTTCCCTTTATAAACAATGAGCTCTCAAGCTCCCAGAAGCAAAGAAACCAGGCGAGGAAATATTTAATCAGTGAAAGAAGGAAATTATATGCAGCTGATAAAGTAGGGGCTGTATGGAAATAGCAAGTGTAATTGAAAAAAAGAAACCCTTTCCATCACTGCCCAGTGTCCTGAAATGCCTACGTGTGAAAGCAGAAGCATGACTTAATTTCAATCGTAGCCACAAGTGATCTGACTCTCACAGAACCAAATCCCCAATTCTCTTTCAGAAGATGACATAATCTTTGCTCTTATGAGTTTACATAGGTGCCTTTGTAGCACTGTCCCTCCTCTGACTGCCAGAAGCATCTCCAGCATTGGGATGCTGCACCCCTCATTTTCCTGAAGTTAATCAGAGACACTACAAGAGCCCCATTGGACTGTGCACATCAGGAGCATTATACAGGTTGGTGTATGCTGCAATTAAAATTGAGGCCCTCTGCATTTCCCAAAATGGCATTTTCCTGAGGTATGGGAAACAGAGTGGTAAAAGCCTCCTAATACAGTTTGTACTAAGGAGGGAGAAAGAGAACAAAAGAAGGACTACGTGATACAAGGGTGATGATATATCCAGTAATCCAAAGGTTCAAACACACCTCTAGATGAAGGCTGAGGTTATATGCAGAGAGGAAGAGAAGGATCTGAAAGTTCAACTCCCTCTAATCTTCTGTGGTGATGGAGCAGACCAAAATGAATGAAGCACAAATGCATCCAGCTCCAACTGACATATTTCACTATCAGGTGGATATCCGTTGCCAAGTTCCATCTCAGCCACACTTTTAAGCTTTGGGGAATTATGTTTTTGTCAAAAAGTGTGCACCAAACTGTTACTAGGGCTTAAACAGTCAAAAAGAATAATGTTATAAGTGAATCTTCACATTCATAGCAAATATTTTTTAACAGTTAATGATGTTGCTCTGATACAATAAAAGAAAAATGCTGTACTTGTGTCTTCTCTGCAGAGATTTTGCCATTTATTCCTCAGGAACACTACTGGGAAAATGAGCAGGGTATATTCAGTTGTGAGTGGAAGCTGGCATTCACCATGCTCATCTGTTCTAAACAGTACATGCTTTCAAGCATCTAACACCTAATGAGGTACAATAACATAACCTGCTTCCCTGTCCCTGAGCAACATGCTCCTACAATACTAGAGAAATACACAGGGTGTGTCCATACCTTCAGTAACCATAAAACTGTGACGGTACCCAAAGGTCAGACCAACTCATTGCCTACACAATTCACCCTGAGGTATGACAGCTCTGAGCTCCAGGCTTGAAAGTGCACACAGGAGGCTCATCCAGCTCTGTCTAAAACACCTTTCATCTCACCCTGCACACTCAGTCCAAGAGCCCCTGACTCTCCCTTTGCCAAAGCATACCCAGGACTCGTCGTGGTTCAGAGATGTGATAGCCAGTGTGGTGACCTGGCCTGCTTCTGACCACAGACCATGTATCACTGGCTTGTTCTCCTTAAAACAGTTACACAGAATCACAGAACAGTCTGAGGTGGAAAGGACCCACAAGGATCATCATTTAAGTGAATGGTCCATCCGGGGATTGAACCCACAACCTCAGCCTTGCCTCTTCCCAGCAGCTTGCAGAGCTGCTGTGCAGCATTCCTAACCAGCTGTGCCAAGTGCAGCTTGGGACACAGTCCACTCTATATGCTCTCTGGTATTTTGCATTTCTCTCAGACTATTCAAGGGAGAAGCAAAAGCCCAGAGGCGTTATTTATTCAATTCGGAGCAATCCGTTATCACTGTGTTACACTTCTAACATGCAAACACCATGACACAGCACAGGAGGGAACCTGTTATCCCTGAAAAAGAAATGGCATGCTCTTTTGAAATCAAAATATGTGCCCTGCTGTCGATGAATATATTCTTGGTTACAGCACAAGGAGGAAGTTTTTGCTTTTCCTCCCCCACCTCTCATCCAAATTTCTTCCCCAGGGTTGCAGAGTATGAGATGAGCAACGTGACCTTGCAATGACAGAATTTTAATGAGTGACTGGTGCACCAAAAGCGATGCAGCAGCGTCTCCCTGCTCAGCGTTGCTATGTACACTAGACATTTATGTAACACTGCTTCTCATCCTCAAGGCTGTCCTTTCCTAGGGTCAGCAGTAACAAACAAAAAATTTATTTATCAAACTGTCAAAGCTACTTACAGCTGACACAGAGAACTCTACACTCTAGTATTTTGGTGAAAAGGAGTTAAACAGGTAAAGCTATTTGCCAATGCCACAGCTGCAGAGTAGAAGCAGGTTAACTTGAAAGAGTAAAGGTTTTATTTCAAAGGAATTGCTTATTTCCAGGGTGTTTGCTAAAATATACTAGTTTTCTTCTGGGCTTTAGGACTGAGTTATGCATGGAAATGCAATGTCTTTGCATACATTAGCTCTCAACCCCCAGGGTGACTCTATATCCACATCTAGAAAATGGGGTTTGCTTTTAATTTCTAAATTGAGGAGCTAAGAAGAATGTCTCCTCTCTCCCCTTGGCTCCCAGGTGCAACATATTTTACCCTGTTTATTGTTGACATTCATCATCCTCTCCTGCCCTCCTTGGGTTGCTCCTTAGTTGACAGCATTTTGCCTGGACCTTCAGGACCAGCCTTCCCTCTCATCCAAGGGCTCTGTTAAGAAGGAATCTGCAATGGGGACACATGGCTTTTTCCAGCTTTCTTTCTGTGCCCATGTAATAACGGGACAGATCCACTGCTCTTACTACAGATCCAGCACCCGTCTCTTACAAATAGGATCCCTCCAGAGAATAACACTTCAGGCATAACAAACCTTAAGGATCCACTGCAAGTCTAGAGATATTCATGACATCAGAGGAAGTGCACAGAATGCCTTGGTACCAAAATGGATCCCATCCCTCTTACAACACGGTTGATACAATCAGCAGGACACTAAAACTTCACATATCCTCATCCAGCCCTTTAAGGAGAAGCACTTTTTGCACAAAACCTTTTGCATTCATTATACATGTCAGTCCAGCAGAGGATTCAGGGTTTTCAACCTTGAAAGATGTTAATTAATCTACTGTTCCTACAAAGGAAATTTCAGTTTCTAGGATTTACTATGTAAAAACTGAATTTAGTAAAGGCACTAAAATACCAGGCTGTTTATGGGAATGAAGAGTCTCATTTCAGCTCCATATATTTTGCCAATACATCACCATAGTGGCCTTAATGAAATACACCAGCAGCAGAAACAATGCAAATCCCAAATCATCGTTCACAGCTGAGTCATCAGCTACATTATATATATGTATATATATATATATATATATATATATATATATATACACACACACATATATATATCCATGAAAAATGTACATTCATAGCAGAAAACCTCTGCTCAGCACATGCATCAGTGGCATTTTGATTAAACCTTCTTGTTAAATCCCCTAGGCTAAAACAATAAAAACTGGTTGAAATTGTGATGAATGGAAAATCAGCAGAAAAATAGGACGCATAACCCAGAGAAGAACAGATCCACCTTGCCTTATTTCAAACTGGTGAGTTTATGAAATGATTGCCAGGCTAAAGTGAAAATTAATCTCCCTAGAAGCCCTTTTATTTTTCAAAAGAGTAAACATTGCATTTTAATAACTATGCCTCTTCTCTGACGTATGGTCTTTGAACTGCTATAGGCAATGACTCTTTAGCCTCACGTCTGCTTCCCCTAAGCCATGTCTTGTGGTTTGAAACTTTAACCTGGTGCATTAAAAGTTGACTAGAGGTTTTCCTCTTAGGCTGCTGTTCTCCAAGTCCTACTCAACCATTACTTCTCTGCTCTGTTAGGCTGTTACAGGTGAATTACTGTTCCCAACATGACTGGCCTGCTATTTAATGCATTATCTGCCCTCTCTCAGGCAGCTTCCAATCTCTTTGCTACCTATGTGCTAAAACAGGAGAAAAAGACATGGAAGAACTCACATGCTAGGAGTGGTACCACATACTGAAACAGGGAAGTGTTGCTCCAAACACAGGGCTGGAATAATCACTGTGGAGGGACAGACTGCTCTGCAGACTTCAGTGGTGAAGGTCAGCCCCCACCATACCTTCCCACGCAACATCAGGGCTCGTCTCTGCTGTTCTTGGTTGTGGCAGTGGACATTTACTCACAAAAGTAACCTCAGTGATATGGGAATAGGTCTTAGGTACATTTGATTAATCCTGCTGTAAAGCCCTGAGTCCCACACTGCTGCACAAGGGCTGGATTCTTGTTGCAGGGAAAGGGCTTGTTTTTCAACATGGTATGAAAACATTCCTGGTATAAAAAAAGAATTCTGAAATAATTCTGATGAATAAAACAAAAAGATCCCGCTGAACAAACACTGAGAAGTCTGCAGCTTTGTGAAAGACTGAGTGAAAACTGGGAGAATACAGGACTGGATCCTTCTCCTGCCAGCAGGAGACTTATGACTGACTCACAGGACATAGTTTAAAGTGCAAAGTGATGCTCAATTACGTAAATCCAGTTGATCTGCAAATGTGGAATTGAGTCCTGTCAGCCTTCACTTACTTTTCTGGCACGGAGTTGTATTTTTTCATACACTTGGCTTTCAGATATAAAAGCAAAGGAGTTTAAAAGAGGGCTTGACTCTGTTTTGCAAGCTGCAGACACACTCAGAAAGAGCAATGACAACATAGCCTGTAGAAAGATTGTGTTTGTCATATCTGCCACTCCTGAAGCCAAGTCACAGTCACTCAACAATCCTTAAACCTTTTGCCTCTCTTAACAGAAGCATACCTCAAGGAAAAGGAAAAAAGCAACTGAAGCTTTTAGACTGTCCCCAAACTCTTCCTCACCTGGTGTAGTGACTACTCAAATCAACAGAAATGTTTATCCAAAATAAAACACAAGCACGTTTGCATAGCAATTAAGACAGATCTTTCCACTGCTTGTGCACCAAAGTGATCTCAAAGCATTAATTAAGCCTCAAAACAGTCCAGAAAGGCAGACAGTCCAGAGCTTGTTTTACAAGTGGGTCAGCTGAGTCAGATACAGCACAAAGAGAGAAAGAGGACAGCCTGGATCTGCTTAGATCTTGCTGTGACAGCACTGCTTAATGTACCAACATGTGTTTAACATGCTTACAAACAGCACCAACTCCTGCAACAACTCAGAATAAGAGCACAGTACTAGCATTGCTATTTTAATTATGAAGTGTTACCTATACAGAAGCTGAGCCAGAAAATACAATCTGCTTTAGCATGGAGCTAACTGCAAAACAAGCCTCTCATTATATGGTAATGGAGCTGATATCTGTCAGAAGAGATGTAAAACCACAAACAATATAGTGATTAGATGACTCTAAACTGTATTTTAAAAGCATGAGATACTAGATCCTGAAACTAGAGGAAAAGATCACGTTCTAGTTGTGGGTAACAGATGCGGGCATGATTTCAATCATGCTTTAAACTAACAGCCACAAAACAAAAGAAGTGTGCATGACCTACAATATCCAATACCTGTGCATTTTGACAACAGTTTTATGTTTATTATAAAATTTATGCAGGCAGTATTAGAAATAAATCTCACTGATTAAAAAGAATCTAATCCTTTGCTGCACACCTCCAGTTTTACAGTGATGGATGAATGACATCCAGTAGGAAAATAATGGTCCTTTCAACCTCAAAGAGAAAAAAATTAAAACCAGTAGCTGTAATGTAGGCTCCCATCTCATACCGCATTTCTATTTTGGCTTCTCTCATCTGGGTTACTTTGAGAATTTTTGTCAGTACGAATTTGTCTGTCTCTGGTTCATTCCTTCCTCCCTGGATTTCAAATTGGGCAGAGCCAGAGGTAAAGACTTCAGTGTCAAGTCTGGACACTGAGGAACGCATTCCCATGTGGCTTCACTGATGCACCTCCATCCTGTTGCTCACTGACTGCAACTCCTGAGCAGAAGCTGCCAAGGCAAAGCAAAGTCATTCTCACTAGTTATACATACAGGATGCCTATACTCCACATATAAGAAAAAAGCTTCCTCTGAACACTGACACGGATACTTGCAGACTCCTGTACAGAGTCTGTGTCCTAAGCAGCAATTTACTGCCTTTCCCACTAAAATAAAAAAGGTGTTCATTGGACAGATATAAATGAAATCAAATGCACTGCCCTAAATACAGGTGAACCACATGCACAAGAGCTCTCAAGCCAGCCTCTGCCTGTGTATGCTGCAAACACTACTGTACTGCTCCCAAGCTGCTGCTGGAGATCAAGGGGAAGGTTTTCATCATGTTTAAGTGATGCTGCTCTATTAAGAGACACTAGAGTGGTGCCTGTTTATGCCAGCTAAGTGTCTGACTCCTGTTTAAATGCCCTCATCTCAGCAAAGTAAGGAAAAGGGAGAAAAGAAGAAATAAAGGAAGCTGAATTGGCTATTTGGATGAAGAAAAAAAGGTGCTCCTCAGAACCAATAAGTTATGAAGTACCAGTTTCAACCTTTAGCTCTCCCATGGCACTTACAGGCAGAAAACAGCTGATGGGAGGAGAAAAGGGAAGCAGAGCTTAAAACTGGGATGTTTTGAGATCTTCCTCTATGGAACAAAGCATACTGCAGCTCCTGCAAGGTGTCTATCGGCAGACATCATCCAAGGAGCCACAGAGCTGAGGGGTTCATTCTCACTCTGCTGTAAATCTGGTCTTGTCCCCCTTTCAGTGGCACCAGGGCAAACAAGGGTGGCTCCAGGGAAGATAATCAAAGATCACAGTCAACCAAACATACCCTGGGACCTCTAAAACTGGATTTCAACCTGCTGTGTTGCAAAATAATCAGTCAGACCATCTGAAAGCTTGAAGTATTTGACATTCAGGGCACATGAATGCAGAGTGAGTGCAACTTCCATGTTGAGTGTTTGGTATAATAAAACTTCAGGTCCTGTGTACTCCTGTTCATTGCTTTTCTTGCTCTATCTTTATGGCTGCATAAATCATAATTATTTTGCAAACTCCTGAATACTGAATTGATGCAAGATACAGAGTTCTCCATGTACAGATGTGTGCTTGCCAAAAGGCTGTGACTAACATCACAGCAGAGGCTGCCCACTGGTGCTACACAATTGTGCTCACTTTTCCTTAGGTTAACTTCATTACAGAAGTAGACTAGCAAGAGTAACACTCTATATTTTAAATACAGAATCCCAGTTCTGCAATGTATAATAAAATCTTTAATATCGAGTATTTTCACCTCAAAGCTGTAACATTTGTATACCAACAAAAGCAAGAGTGTCTGTAATACACTATGTCTCACCACTTGGATTCACCTGGGGTTTCATTTACTGATCCAGCTTCAGAGGACTGAAGTGGAAGAAGTTCAAACATTCCACAGGTTCTTCTTCCATCAGCTTTTAAAGCAACTGTGTCTCTCCCCAGCTTCTGTACTTTTTAATTAACAGAAACAAATCCAAAGAATCACTCCCACCACAAATATTGTGTGAGCGCATTTGAGTAAAAGCATTGATTATTTGTTGGTATACTGCTGCATCCATCAGTCTTAAATAATCATAAATAAAAACATTTGTGCTATTCTTTGGTACATTTCTGTCTGTTTAAACCACAGCTGAACATTTATGTTGTACAAACAAAAAATTGCACTTTTATCTTCTAGAAAGTCTTGCTCCAACAGACTTTCAGCTGAAGGATTCTTTATTGTACTCAAACCTTGTCCCATAAGAGTTGCTGCTGTTGCTCAGTTTATGAAGTATCTTAGAGATTTTGTTGGGTCCACAGCAGAAAACTCCAATGGTCTTCCTGTTAAAAAAAAAAAAAAAAAAAAAAAAAAGAGGGAAGGAGAAATTATGATATTTTGAATAAAAAGTGATTTCCAATAATAGACAGAAATGGATCCTGGCCTCATGCTATTATACATAAACCACCTACATATAGATTTTAGGGTGAGAACAGTTTGCTAGATGATGCAGTTAGTTTTACTGAAGCCACCATATCTGTCCCAACTATCCCTACAATAACCCCTATTATTTATCTGACTAAGACAACTTTAAGGAAGAAGTGCTTCATCTTAGTCTCAAGATACCAAATGATGAAATGTTACTATATTCCACTCAATTTTTTCCATGATTAATCACTTTTTTTTTGTTAAAAATGTGTCTCACTGTAAGACTTCCTTGGTGTAAGTAATGAATTACACAAGCATATCTAGTCACTAACAGTGATTCGTTACACTAATGAAAACACAGCACTACTAACCCATGATTATTTCTGGCAGCAACAGAATAATTTTCCTGCTTTACTTTCACATTAGCATGCAGTTTTTCCTTCACCTATATTGGGAAATCTTACAAAAAGTCAAACACAATATGATCCTTGTTCATCACCCACAGATCTTGGTCCAGGTTCTTCAGTCAATCTGACTTTTTCACATCACTCGACTGACAACAGCTCTTTGCTCTCTGGTCACCTTAAAAATAGGCTGTAAGTCAGACTCACAGTCATACAACATTTGAGGGCTCAGAACTGCAGTCAACATCAGAACAAAGCACATCCCCCACAGAGGGACTGAGCCATTCAGAATATTCACTATCTCCCTTTCTCTTAAAGATGAGGAGAGGGAAAGGAAGCAGGGAAAGACAATGCAAGGCTGCCTTTTCTGTATCATTAAAAAAAATCTTCTTCCTGCTGAAATTTTGCCACTACACAAAAAGATCTTAAAGATTTACAAGGATGAAGAAAAAACATACAAGAGGGAACATGGCTCGAACTATTGTGATCTACAACATCCACCAAGAGGCTGAAGGTTCGGGTTCTGGGCTCTGCTTCCAGGACTGTTTCAGTATTTTATCCAGTAACTATTTAATATACAATATTTTAGCACATGCAAAAAACTCACTTTAAAGCTGTGCATGTGTTTGATGAGAGGAGGGAACTAATATAAGAAGAAATCTTTGGTGCCTACTGCCACGTGTATGTGTCAGGTGTCTGGCAGCTGCTGGAAGAGCATGGCAGTGCACACTGCACCAGTGCACAGCAGCACTGGCATGGTACAACTGAGCACTCAGACATCAAAAATCATCACAAGGTTATGCAGGTAACTGCAGTGGTGTCCTCATGCAGGCACCTTACAACACGGATTTTAATTGCCTTCAATGATATCACTTCTCATATCAATCCACGGCAAAGTCATAAGTCATACTTTTCTCACCCTTATGTTTATCTATTAAGTTTTCCTGTCCTGGCTGTGCTCCTTTCAGTGGCAATGGGTATTGTGCTGGTGGCTGAATTTGCTGCAATAATGAGAGAGATGTTGCTTGTTGGTCTCAAATAAGATTTCTCAGCACTTGCAGATTCTGAACTCCCTCTAATCTGTGCACACTGGAGAAAAAGGATTCATGAGCTGCCAGCAAGACTCAGTCTTCTACTGTGCATTTAATTGAAAGAATTAATGTTGTTGTTGGGTTTGGGGATTTTTTTGTTTTTCTTTTTCTTTAGTCTAATTAGTACAGTGAACTGATAAAATAAACCCCAGAGAGTTTGGCTGCCCCTCTTCCTTTCATTACATATAAGCAGCCAACAAAGTAAATACATGTCTAAGCAGCACATACTGCCAATGTATTCCCATCCCAGCAAGATCCTTCCGAGGTATACAGAATATTTGGCTAGTAATCAGAACCACGGGAAGGTTAAATGATTTGCCTGAAGTCACACAGGAGACCCGTGGCTAAGGTCTCCTGAAACCCAGCTGAGTCACTGTTCTGTGCAGTGAGCCACAGGCTCTCAGACTGCTTCTTCCTGAGATACTCACCATCAGCATCTAGTCTGGACACCCCTTCATGTACCATCTGCCTTCCTCCCCTGTGTCCCTGCCTGCAGATGCCTCCCCCCTGCCTCGCCCAGCTCCTGCCTGGCTGCTGGAACACAAACAGAAAGGTGGCTGAGGAAAGCTACTACACGGAGCAGCACATTACTACCCTGAGCTAATGGGCTTTCACTGTTTATCTATCACTTGTTTGGGACAAAGGTTCACTTTGGGCTCAGATGAAAACAGGCAGCTGTGTAGTCCAATGTCTGAAAATCTTCTTTAATGCCATTAACATGTTTATAGTTAAAGAAACTATGTTATAGGCCATTCTTTATAATGTTATAATTAAAAACTTTAATATAGAATTTACTCATTCAGAGCACAAAGCAAGTAACTCCTCAGTGTCCCTATGGATGAGTAAGTCGGCACACATTCTTACATCCATTTTATGAACAGCAGGACTTGAGAGAAAGATTAAATACTTTACTATGTTGAGAGGACAGAGTCAGGACTTGAAATGTTCCTGTTTTATATCCCACACTCATTCCTAGAGAGAGGTTTCTCCTTTACAGCACATGAGAAATGCATCGTGGTGCTCCATGCTTTTTTCTCCTACAGGTTTTCCATGTCTTTTTCTAGGTCCTTCTCTACCTGGAATAAAGCAAATGCCCATTTGAACTGAGCATGGAGGAGCTTTTCAACCAGGACATAGCTGAACAGGAACAAAGCTGTTGCTCCATTCACCCAAAAAAGTATGAAAAAAAAAAAAAAAAAGAAGACCAGTAATTTATTGTATAACTGTTCCAATTCAGATTGCTGGCTCTGCAGGTGTCATATGAAATATGAACAGTAGATGGCATACATCTGCTCCTCTTTTCCCCCAAAAAATAAAGGATCAGGAACCTGATGCTGGGTTGTCCCATGTCACGCTCTGAAGGTCTGGCAAAGCTCAGACACTTACAAATGCACTTTGCTTATTTGGGACCCAAACAGCAACAGCAGCAACAATTCACAAAGCACACAGCAATCAGACGGCTACGCAGTGAGAGCTTTGCCAGCTGCCTGTTTATTTATATGCAGCTTTTCCTAAAATCACAAGATAAAAACTGGAAAATATCTTGGCTGTCCATAAACAAGCCCAAGGGGATGATTGCAAATGTGAAAGTCTGAACACTGGCACCAGATGTTGGAAACAACTTGATTGACCTGTTTTGCTTTAGTTTGGCTTTTTTTGGTCTCTGTATAGCAGCAGGGACACTTAGGTGGAAAGTTACAGAGAAATAAGTACTGAAATAAAGCTAGGAGCAGACCTGGAAATTGGACTAGAGGGAAAAACTGAAGTTCTCATCTCATCCAAGGAAATACAGAGAATAATTAGCTACAAAAGGTAAATTTCTGCAGGACAGCTGAGGGCTGAGGTTCACTACCATGAAGGCTTCGCTACTGTGCATCATTACAAGTAACTACATCTATAGGTACAGATCTATATAAACCTTGATAAAGAGATGACAAAGAGTGACAAAGCCTACATCTTAACAAGGTAATCAAATGAGTCAGAACATTATTTAGGTATTAAAGACACTTTGCTTGAAAATGGTGGCCTGATTTAAAGACCTGATGTGAAAATGCAGAGGAAATGGTACTTGAAGTACCATTAGGAGTAAGGCAATGAAAAGCAAAAAAGAAAAATCAAGTATCACTAGTACTACTACTAATGGCTTCATCCATATTATGTGCTCTTACATCTTTGGAAGGAAGTGGCAGGAATCTCATCATGTTCATCGTTTAAAACTGCACTCACATAGTTAAGCAAAGACATTAGAATGGAGGATAAAAAAGGTCAACAGTCCACTATGCAGAGATCTTTGAGCCCAGAGACTCAGATTGATTCTCTGAACTCTCTATCCTTTCTTCCCCATGGTTCTTTGCTCTAAACCCCTTCTCTAAGTGTGAAAATTCTACTAGAGACGCAGCAGCCTTTGGGGCATCCTGCTCACAGCATCCTCTATGACCTGAATCCAAGACCAGTATTGCCAGCAGCTCGCACTGCCCACAGTGACACATTTGGCACTCAGCATTTCTCAAGAGCCAGGGCTCAGTGTTCCCTAGCCTCAGAAGAGAGGAGTCAACAAGCCACGAGCAGATTTCACTTTGCAAATGCAAGAGAGGACAAGAAGTTCTTGAGGAAAAGTTCTGCAGAGCACCTCTCAACCTGATGCACCCAGATTAATATCAACAGCTACTCAGGGAGGTTTGCTCCCACACCATTGACTTTGCCAGAAGTGGATTAGGGAAGATTGGCACAGTCCCTTCCTCCAGATCACCTTTGGAGGCAATAAACTGCCAGCAGTGGGTAAAATATCCAACCAACAAAGTTGGATCTGGACAAAGCATTCCATATGCATTTCTTCCCTGGTTTCCACTTATCTTGTTTCAGACCATAATGTGCTTCCCCAGCACAGTAAAAAGACATAGCCAGGTTTTAACAGAGAAAAAAAATAGCTAGAAATACCCAAAGATAAGAAATCTTCTGAATAAAAACAATACAGGTAATTCAAATTATTTCTTGTGAATTCTATTTGTAAACTAGCATTACGAATCATGAATTAACAATTTTAAGAAATGTAACTTTATATAAAAAACCAGCATATGTTGAAAGCAAGACATTGCCACAGACAAGAACACACGTAATCTCTGTGCAGTGAGATGGAAATCTGCTACTTTTGTTTTCTGAGCCACTGAACATCTCAGCTGCATGAAAAGCTGAACTGCTCTGAGCATAAAGAATGTTTCAGTTTGTATAGGCTATCTCTCAGCAAGACAAACCCAGAAATATTTTCATACAAACATAGCTAGAAACAGATTTGCCCAGCCATTGAACTGTGGCATCCTTCAAGTGGATGAGCACTTACCTCCTATTGCACTTTGCTATGTCATCAAACAGGAGCTTCCACCGGGGTCGTCCAATCAAAAGCCTCGAGTTTAAAGCCTGATATTTTTCACCAATTATTTTCTGCAAGAAACAAAAAACTCCATCATTCTGCATGATCTGAAAATTGCCTCATATCACCCAGGGCTCCCATTTCTGCTACTGGCTGACTTGCCAGAGTGCTGAGGTGTAAAACCTGAGCCCAAGCATCAAACAGTTGTGATGAGAACTGCAGCCATTTTATGCACCAATACCTCTGCTCAGTACCTTTTCAATGGCTCTCCTTGGTGTTCATTATACATTGTCCTTATGCAGCTGCTCATTAATTTCCACATTACTTTTAAACCAATTTATTTAAGCCACAAAACAATAACCATACTCCTACTTCTCATTCCCACACTGGCTTTTAATGCTAAGCTGGAAGAAATGCTGCTGATGCAAAAATCATGTTTCTGTCTGAAGTATTTTCTAAAACTTTGTACAAGCAACTATTAAGATTACTAGGTCTGAAAAAGTAACAGGGGAAATCTTACTTTTCTCCCTGAGAGTAGTTTGCCAGCTGTTTTGAGCTGCTGTAACAGCAGAAAGCAGCCAAAACTGCTCCCCAGATGGAACCCACTCCATTCCAGAATGCTAACTCACCAGCATTTTGATAAGGTGAAATGCCCTCCCATTGCAGGGCACAACCCTGGGTTTGCTGTCCTAGCACAACAGCAAGAGGCAGAGAGTTACACATTATCTAGGCTCCCACATTCCCTCCCTCGCTGAACAACCCAATGCTCACACCAATGCAAACACAGCCCTGGCCAGCTCAGCCTCCTTTGGGCTTTTATAGACAAGAGGCACTTGCTGCAGAGTGGGCTCTTACCACACAGGCACAAGGGCTTCTCACAAAGGGAGCACGAAGCTCAACTGCCCAAATTTTGGCAGCAGTCAGCACTTTGCACTAACATCAGTGAACACACCACCTGTATGGCCATGGAGACTTAACTCCTCCTTGAGCAATTATGAGCAGCATTGTGCTTCATGGCAGTTTTGTTCAACAGCCACAAAAAAAACTGACTTCAAAGAAGGGCTTCAACTAGAAAGCTGACTTAAATAAATTCAGCAGCTGCTTAATTAGTATCATTATGCAGCATTAGTACACTACATAGTATCAGAAAACTCTCTTTGAATTGACTATTATTTCACTTTCCCCACTTCATTGCATTGCAGTCCCTCTTCAGGTTTTAATTTTAACCTAACAATTACACACCAAGTTCATCAATTAGGCATTTTTAAGCATTCCATTTCCATCAACATATGTTGTCCAGGCATTACATTTGTCATAGTCATAACTACTGCAGCTATCACATCATTTAAACTACAGGATTGTGCTCCTACCAGAGCTGTGAATGTTATGCTATCTCCACCTGATAACAGGCAGAGCAAAATCCTTTGGGCATGGTTTTTCAATGCATTTCATGTTTTGCAGTAATTGTTAGGCTTGGCTCTAGGCCTCCCATAGTCAATGGACAGCTTCCTGACATGGCACAGTAAAGACTTGTACCTAGGCTTATGTGCTAAATAACGTAAAATGAAGATTGCAAGCATAAATAGTTACAGGAGATGCCAAGAGTTGGGGAAATAGCCCAGCCTTAGCATTGCCAAAACATGTCAATTGACAGGTCAGTATAATTTCCAGCCTTACACATCAAGAAATTTCTACCTTTCATCTATATATGAGAAATTGAAATAAAAAGCTTTTAAAAATAGCTAGTTCCTTTCAAAATATATATGGAAAAAGAAGATTTGAGCTTGCAAGTTCCTAGAACTATTCTGGTTTGGTTCTTAGCCCAGAAACAATGCAGATTTCCCATCAAACACAGCCAACTGTCTGGTCTGTGGCCTGGCCTGGAAGGACCTTGTTCCTAGAAAAGGAAGATATGGATTTCTGCCCACACCTAATCAAGTCAAGGGTACTGCACTAGACTCTCTTAATGCTGTGGGGATGAACTGGCTCTCTTGCTCTATTAATGAATCAGTCACCCGAGTTTATGGCCTCATCTCCTGTTTTTACCATCTGCAGAAATCCCCTTCTGCCTTTGACTGACAGTTTGCATTGCCTATTACTCCAAGGTCTAGTTTAGTTTACAAACAACATTTGGCCACCTACCTGTATTCCATCTGCTTGACTGAGGTACAGCTGGATATTTATATAGTCTGGCCGATTCTCCTGCCAAAGCTGGGAGGATGATAAAAACAGCTAGTGAAATAATATTCTTTTTCTGAATGTAAGTGTAAAGTCACTTGTGCCTACTATGCTGAGGGACATGGGTTTCAGCATCAGTGAAGTAAGCTTCTTAATGAAGAGGATGTGCTTGCATAGCACATCATGCTGTGTAAAAAAATATTATTTTAGGCAGCTACATGGTTCTTAAAATACATTTGAAATTGCAAATCCCACTCCCTTCTCAATCTGCCTACTAGCCAAACGACTAAAGGCCACTCAAGGCTTCCCATACTACATGTGCTCCTACTTCTATTTCATAAAGCAGTCTGGTCACAGGTAAGTGTTCAGGCTACTGGAACGTGGCAACACTGGTGATGGATACTCAAACTGGTTTGTGCAGCTCCAAGAATAAATGAAGCCTGGATCAGGCAGCCCAAGCTACTGCTGGAGCTCACTCGTTTTGAGCAAGGCTGCCATTCCCTACAGAATGCCAGGTGTCTGGTGTGGGCATACTTTGCATTTAAGTTGTCAGGATCCCTCCAAAGAACACCCATTACCTTGTTATGCAACATGCAGAGCAGATCTGCAAACCAGCGGAAAGACTCAATGTCCCTGCACACCCAGATGAAGTAGAGTCTTCTGAGCTTGTAGCATTTCCAGCCATCACTTGAAAATAAAACGTGTGGGTAGTTAAAAATTGTAATTTAAAAAGGAAACACTAATTAGGATGCTTTATATTTATTAATGGAAACATGAATTTCCTTTAGAAGCTAACTGCTAAGTTGCTCTTCAAGCTATGATACATCAGACACTGAACTGACCAGCACAGCCTATTTAGATTATCCTGAGAATACTAAATATCTAGCACAGAGCTAACAGCCATCAGAGACACTGCTTCCAAGCTAGGAAGCTGTCAGCTATGCAAAAGATTTGGGCAGCAAATATGGATTCATGTATCATCATCAAACTTTTATTTCAAAGCAAAGTAGACATTCTAAGTTAAAGTGTACTATGTCAATGCTTTGTTAGGTTTATAAAGAGGCCCATAAGTGGAAAATATTGACAAATTCAATAACGTCAGGACTTAATTTTGCCTTTCTATGTGAAAAGCTCTGGTTGATTTTAATTAATACTGCAGCAAAATCACAAAGACCAAATCAAATCAGAGCTCCATTGTATTAGGGAGCTGTGTGACATATTAAAGAGCTCAGAAAATGCTAGTGGATGAAATGCAGCCATGGGCAGATTCTGGCATTGCATTTAGAAAAATAGGACTCTCGTGTCAGATTTCTAATTCAATTAAAACACAATTAAGTACAAAGGAAAGATTTGACAGAAGGAAAATAGAAATAAAAATATCCTGATAATGAGTTCAAATAAAGCACAAGTATTCTGGAAGCATTTTCTTAGTCAACACTGCTTTTTGTTGTTCTGATCACTGAAATGGCCAGTGCAGAGTTTCCTCCTTTTCCTCCTAGAATGATTTTCAGATAGAGAAGGCCATAGCCTGTTCACTTAAAAGCCAACCTGGGAGCCAAGTCTGGTCTGAAGTTTCCTGATACATTCACCACACCCACTGTACCTTATTCCAAACTCTTGAGTTGCTGGCATATCCAGCAAGGATATAAGGTAAATACATACTATAAGATACTATAATAGGTAGGATTTTCTGATACTATAGGTAAGATGTCCAACCAGTGTCTTGTCTTCCCATACCCCCATCTTGAGGAGCAAGGATGGAGACATCAGCAGCACCTCAGCAGCATGTTGAACTGAGAACTCACCTTTCATGAAAACTACCCAGAGAGAGCAAAAAAAGTGCTTTCAGACTGGGAAGCACAGTGTCTTTCAAGTCCTGATTTCCAATTTTTTATTTGTTAGCTGCTGACTTTCCAAACAAGATTTCCTTGCTCTCTTTCTGACTGCCTAGACTAAGACAAGCACTTAGGAAGGGTCACAATCTGGTCAGATATGACAAGAACTATAAGCAGTAGCAAGAAAAATAAGTGCCTTTCACGATAAAAAGGATAAAAGAAGAGAAAAATGCAAGGCATTTTGCATTGAAATGCCCCAGTTCAGTAACAAAACACCACTCTTGGTGATGAAACACTGCAGCCAGACAAAGAGACTGGACTGCAAGACTTCAGCAAACAAATCCATTGGATTTAAAATATACCCTGTTGGGTATACCTCCAACAGGATAAATTGTTTGGGAAAGGTGCAATCCCCATTTACAACCACGTGTATGTAATATTTCTTGCATGCTTCTGTGTTACACTGCCCATAACAGCCATTATTTACAGACTCTCGTGCATAAAAGCCTCTAGCTTTCCATAAAGTACATTATAATTTATTAAAATAGGGCACAGGGTTCAACAGCTAAGTGGAAGGAAGGGCAGGGGCATGAACCAAATTATGTACATACAACAGGAAAACAGCAGAGCAGGAAAGAAGATTTCAAGGACAGGCTTTGGATCTCTCCTAGACCTGTGTGTCCTTGACACAACAGGACTAGCCTGGCTGCTCTGCAGCGCTGGCACCATCAGGCAGTGTGCATGTTCACACCTGCCAATATCTGCTTCCCAGCCAGGGCAAAGACACGGGCAGATCAGCCACTAAACCAGTGCCTTGTTGATGTTTAAATACTGAGGAGGGAAGCAGACTAAGACTGTTACTTTTTCCCAGAATGACTCCCTTGTATATTGTACATTGCACGAGGGGAAGAGTGGCTACAAAGGCAGGTTATGGAACTAGCTCCTTGGAAGTCAATTTATGGCTTTATGCAGATAAATGGACATTGCAAAATCCTTTGGACACTACCATTTTCTTGCAGTGTCTGTGCAAATTCTTACAGCCTTGAATAACAACACACTGATAGAGGCAAACATCTAATTACCTGCTGCTGGCCCATCTTTGTGCTCTGTGACATTTTGGCTAAACACTATCAAGGATAATCCATCACAAGGAAAACAGTCATTTCATCCACCTGAGCCCAGGGCTTTCAGTAAAAACGTACCCTGGTTTTGAGAGGGTGATCTATATCCTCTCAAGAAAAGAAAATGAGGGAGCCCAAGATGGTCTTTGCTGGAAGGATACAAAGGCTGGTGACACTGTCCCAGTTCAGGTGCATCTCTGGCACATCTCTGCCACAACTCTTTGGGTTAAAGAGCTGGTATGAGAGGAATTATGTCCTTTAGGGACATAACTAGTCCTCTACATCTTTTCAAGGAATCATTCACTTATGCCAGTGGAAGTTTTCTAAGACCCTCAAAGCCTTTCTGACACGCATTGCAAACTGGGGCGAAATGGCTTTAAAGGTTTAAGCTCACTTACAGCAGTGTGTTGAGCACAGATGCAAATGGTGTAACCCCAATACCTCCAGCCACGCAGAGGCTGACCTCGTAGTTCAGGGATTCCTCAAAGGGACTTCCAAAAGGTCCATCCACATACAGTCTGCATAAAGAGCAAAAAGCACACTTTTAGAGGAAGCTGGTAAGATGAGACAGAGGCGAAGAAAAACAAGCTGGAATTAAAACCCCACAAAGAATTTGTTTTAAATTTTTATTAGTCTTGGGATGCAGAATGTGAAAGTCTTCTTCCTGAAAAACTTTACATGGACAGAAATTAATGCACAGGTGGTAAGAAAAACTGTTATCTATAATCTCTTGGCACGTTCCATAATTAGACAAGCCATTTTTTAACTAAACAAGTGGAGGTGACTAAATTATGGCTTCCTGTTTTGTCTGGTGTTAGAAGGCAAGGAAAGGGCTGTACTGGAAACAATGACTTGGTGGGTCATACTTAGGAAAGAAAGTAGTTTGGCTAGCCCTGCCTAGGAGGTTCATCTTATATATGTTTTCTGAAGAGAGAGAAAAACTGCCGAGCTTTCCCCCTTTAACTCATACCTATCATTATTATAACCGTTTTGTCCACTTGATTATAAAGATTATTTAGGAGATTGTGTCCTATTTCCAACCCATTTTTAATACTTCAGATTCTACTGGATAGTACATTGACAATCTTTTAAAAGTTGGTTCTAGGTATTTTCAATAGTTTGACCTCCTACAAGATCCGACAATCTGAGCAAGGTCACCCATAGACAGCTCAAAATTTATGGCCTGTAAGATTTCATACACTCTATTCTACCTATGGAAAACCAACTGCATATCTTACCTCAGTAAAAGATTTGTGTTTAGAAACTGCTATAAAGAGAACGTAAACAGGACATTGAACTTGAACAGGACTCAAGGGATATTCTGTGTATGAGTGACTCACTGGATCAGCACATTTTATTTAGGTAACTGCTGAATATAACCAAGTGTGGTGGGACCAGCACTGTGTGCAGCAGCTCAGTGAACAGTATTTGCCCACACGTGTGCTGACCAGACCAAGCTTTGCCCTGAGTCCACTAAAAATCTCCAACACACATCAGTTTCATGCACACACCCACACTGGTACTTATTGCACATACTCCACATCTAATGAAAGGGCCTAAGCTTCCCCTTCATAACAACAGCCAGAGAATTAAAGGCAGAGAAGACATCTCTTTTCCCAGACAAAGCCTTCCAAGTCTCATCTGATTAATTCCTTTGGAGAACTGGATTTTAGCCATAACTTAAGTTCTCAGTCTGATCTCATTTCTTCTAGTTTTGTGGTCTGACCCTTGGCATCATCTTACCAGTCAAGACAACATCTTGTCTGGGTGTCTTTGGCCAATACGGTCCTTTTTAGGAATATTTTTCCAGACCTCTGCTGTTGTTGTTTGATGCCTCATATGTTAGGTTCCTTCTTCTGTGGTGTATTAATTGAACACAGATAACTACCAATTTTCTGATGGATCTGAAGGCTCGTCCTCATCTATCCTTAACTGTCTTACAAACTCCTTACTTGGTGTCCTTCTGGGAGAGAAATGGAGAAGACACTGGCCCAGCCACAGACAATATCAGAAGTCATTGGAAATGTTTTTAAGCAATCAAATTTTATAACTAAGCCATCTTCAACCTAAACATGCTTACTCTTATTTTTGTATTTATAGTCTCTACAGTATTCTAAAAACATTCCCTTGGAGAATCTCAAAGCTTTGCAATGTCAGGCATGTTAGTTCCAGCATGATGAGAATATTAGAAAAGTAAATTCATTCCTTACTTAGGACAGACATATTGTTTTACACAATGGGGCCAAGAAAACCTCAACTGGCCGTGTGCATACAATATAAACGGAACTTTAAGTATCTTCTCATTAAATGTTTCCTCTTACATAACCCTCTATACATTTACTTAACAAGGGTTTCTTTTCCACTAATGAAATTATACCACTGCTGATGCAGAGTGCAGTAGCAGCTGCTTTAAGAGATCTAGAAGCTGCACTATTTTATGTAGGAGGTAAAGGTGCATCTCTTATTTAAATAAGCAACAGGGGAAATGTTGAGAAGCAGGTTGTAACACTGAAATAATCTGGTCCAAGGGATATTCTGAAAGAAGTCCACAAATGTTATGTGTCTCAGATGTATATGCAACAGATGTAGCAGAGATCTAATTTTGGGATGTCAGAGTATGTCAAACCAGAAAAAAACCCCAAAACAGCTAGATAACAAAGACCAGCAACCCTGTCAGTCCTGACATACCTCATACACATGTCACCCTAATCAGCCCACACCTAGCTGGTGAAATTTAGAGAATTGCTCTTAAAGGTATGAAGGGCAAAAGCACGGGACTGGGGGAAATTCCTTACATTCTGGACAAGGAACATTAACTTTCCTCTGGATACACAAAATTAAAGCCAACATTTTGAGTGAAAAACACAACTTAATGAAAAAAAACAACCAAAGCACATTTTTCCAGAAATTACCACAGTGGATGTGACAACAGTTATATACTGTAGGGGTGCCACTTAACATAACTGCACTACTTGAGGACTCCTGAATGTATGTATGTACGTCTGCAGAGGGATTAAGCAATTCCTGAAAGTCTGAGTGACTCTGAATAATATTGACATGATCAGAACTGGAAAAATGCAAAACTAGATCTGGTCACCAGAAACCAGTCAAGCATAGTACATGCCAGAAATTCAAGAAACAACCTGCAATTTAATATGCATTTTGGTCAGAATGATCCAGTTTGTGGTCCATTAGCCCCATCTGTCCTGCAAAATATTTCTATTTGCCCACTGTGTCTTCCTCTGAGGGAGTGAGGAGCAGTTGCTTGGACAGCAGATGCAGTCAGGGAAGCCAAGAGCCTCCTGCTGTGTCTGTATGTGGTCCAGCACAAAGCAGCCAGAAGTCACTGCTTCCAAGTGTGAAAAAGAGAAATGGGGAGAGACCTGCAGAAATATTGCTACTGCATTAACCCACTCCACCAGAGTGCCTGAAAAGACTGATTCCAAGCATAACATGATCTCCCTAGAAGATTTTGTTGGAGGTCATAAACATGCACTATTTAATCCCATTTTACTACAGGGATAATTTATAACTGAGACAAATGTGGACCTGATGCCTTAATGGCAGTGGCCATTTATCCTTTTCTTATTCAAGCCAGTGGAAGCAAGAAACCTCCTGATGCCATATCAAATGGCATGGGGTTGAACAGAGCAGTGATTCAGTCGTAGACTTCTGCAGAGATTATGCAATTTTTGTTTCCTGTCAACATGTTCCTACTTTCATTTGGTGGGATGGAAAACTTTTGCATAAAAGCAGTTCATTATTGAAAATGAAATATCACAGCACTCAATAAAAAGCCAAGGGGGGTAAGATGACTTTTTGCTTCTTGAGCTGTGGCCCAGATATATCACACTATGCTATGCTCTCCTATCCCCCCAGCTTTCATTTAATTAACATGAAGAAAGGGAATGGAATTTTACTAAAAGTTTAGAAATTGCCCCTTCAGGCAAACTAATTCAAATAACAAGTAGTTCTTTTCACATATATTCACTTCCAGTCTTAGAAGTGCTCTTGCTTATTATTGTGGGACAATCTTTTTAGCTCAGAAAGAGAAAAAAAAGATCTTCAAAATAGAATATATCACAAAAAATAGCAGAGCACATTATTAAAAAGCATCTTATAGATATTTTCTGTTTAAAGCACACTCCCATTCTACAGTGCAGTGCTACCAAAATAGCCCAACAAGCACTAAACCAGCTTGTTCCAATGCTGGGTAATGCCACTGCACTAACATGGGGCTGCCCCTAAACTGAGGGACACTGTCTCAGGGACACAGGCAGCTGTACTACTTTTGAGATCCAAGTCATTATTTTCCATTAGGAACTGCATAGTGATATGTGGAGATACCTGCTCACATCTCTTGGACTTGGCTGTCAGTGCCATGCTTTACTTCAGGGTGTAGGAGCCCTTAAAAAAGATAATACTTTGATTGTGCTTCACAATCCAACAGTAAATGATGTTATCACTTTTTTTTCTAGGCTCTCTGGGAGCTACTGTAAGACATTATCTGGGATATTAGTGGAATAACAGATGGATAGGGGAGTTAAATCAAGAGCTCGTAGGAAATTTTAATTAAAGCAGTATCATCATCTGCAAGCTGAAGAAAATGCCTGGATACAAAGTACTGCATAGAGCACAAAAAGTGAAATCCTAGTCTGACTGAAGTTTCAGGGAAGGATCTTACCAGAGTCAGCTGAAGAAGGATTTAAACCAGTAGCATGAGATTTTATATCCTTGGTATTCAGTTCTTACTAAGATCCATGTGTAGGTATCTTTGTGTGAGCACACTAAGTTCTGGCTACAGTCACAAGACACAGTCAATAAAGCTAAGGGAGCCGAATCTCTCCCCTGATTCCTTATAAAAACATCATTGACATTCTCCAAAATCATAATAAAATCAACTAGACAACCTTTCTCCCATGCTTGTTCTTCTCTTGTACTTGTCCTACCAAAACCACATCTCTGAACTGATGGATTCACCCTGAGAACTCCAAGTAATTGACTGTCTGATGCTGAAGAAGTTTCCTTATGTTCTTCTGCTGCTCTAACTCTGCTGCACCAGAGAGATGCATTCACCTCTCTCTGATAACCCACAATATCAGCTTCCACCCCCACATGACAAATATTCAAACAAGTGCCTCCATGTTCCTCCCACATTTTCCTTCTTGCCTGGGAGGGAATCTCAGTAAACATCTGCAGAGCGATTTCATTATCTCCCTTAAAATTCCTTCTTAAGACTCCTCTTTCCTCTGATAGCTGAAAAACCAGGCTGATGTGCTCACTGTAGCTCAGTCACATTCTGGATCACTACTGTCTTACTGTTTCCTCGAATTTTGCTGTCTGACTGTATCCATCTGTTGCCTGCTGTTTCTCCAGTTTCAGTTGGTTTGTGTCTCTGCTGTGTGGCTCTGTCTACCAGAATGGCTTCCTGATGCATGACTCCTTCTTCAGGGCATCAGCATAACAGACATCAGAGAAGGATTGCTGGAAGCCATCCACATCTGAAACTAGCGTCAGA